GTGAATAATAGAGGTAAAAGATTGTATGATACACCGCAGTTCATCTAGTTTTCCAGGTGATACAATGCTTCTGGCATTCACAAGTAAACATTTCAGAGACATTGGTGACCTAGATATTATATCTTCATATTTCTCTGCTAATTCGTAAGATATTTTGGTTGTTTAGTGTATTTTAGTTTTGTCGTTTTAATTCGATTAGCGGATTTAAATAACAAGACAACGACTTACAATATCTGGCGTTTATTTTCCACGCGCAACAAGTAACATGTACACTACACAATCACACAGAAAGAGTATTTTTACGCACAAGCACAATACAGTTAATATAGCCACATAAAGCACAAATTACAGACATAAAATTGGTTTTGTGAATTTTGAAAGCGAGAGGTCGTTTCTAGAAGGTTGAACTTAATTACTAAGCAGCAAGCGCTCCGCGTCGTAGTATAGTCTCGACTGGTGGTACACGTGAGCTGCGCCGGCGCATCGGCCGGTGGCCGAACAGGTTTTTAAGATGCGCGTTTCCAAGGCGGGGCACGTCACCCGTCTGGTATACGTTTTTAACGAAATAAAATGCTTGATGTCTTACAAGTTATCGTGTTCTGAATTTTGATATTATAAATAAATATAAGTGTGTATATATAGTTAAATAGTTATATTAAGTTTTATTATGAGATAAATATGTAAATAATTAAATGTAAATAATAATTATAAATGTAATAAAATAAATGTAAATAAATGTAGGAAAATCACCTACACCACCCCCCTCCAGAGACCGTCAAGGGCGATAAAAGCTAGTAAATCTAACATGACGTCCACTACGCGTTATTCGCTCCTTTTGTATGTCAGGCTCGGGAACGGGTTCTTCACAATGGTCTGATAATATATGTGCCGGTTTCAACCTATCTATCGACACCGTGACGTCTTTACCATTAAGTAATATTTTAAATACTTTGTCACCTCTGGTCAATACCTTATGTGGGCCGGTGTAAGCTGGAGTCAATGAACCTCGTGATGCATCTTCTCGAAGGAAAACAAAATCACAGGTGCTAAGCTCCTTATAAATAAATACTTTTGGGCTGCTATGCCGTGAAGCGGGTACTGGGCGCAAATTTTTCGCGAAATCTCTAATTCGAGCCGAAAATTCCGACAAGTCAATTGTGCCGGGAACGGTAGGCTCAAAAAATTCGCCGGGCAGCCTTAATGGCTCGCCGTATACTAGTTCGGCAGAAGAAGCTTGTAAGTCTTCTTTAAATGCCGTTCTTATGCCTAATAACACCCACGGTAATGATTCGGTCCATCTGTCATTAGCGTGGCATACTATTGCTGCTTTCAACTGTCGGTGGAAACGTTCTACAAGTCCATTACATGCTGGATGGTAAGCTGTTGTGCGTTTGTGCTCGAAGCCAGCTATTTTCGACAAACACTGGAATAAGGCCGACTCGAACTGACGACCTCTGTCCGTCGTGATGGTCGTCGGACAACCGTAACGAGCTATCCAAGTAGACAGCAAGGCTTTCGCCGCTGTTTCGGCAGTTATGTCTTCTATGGGTACAGCTTCTGGCCATCGTGTAAAGCGATCAATGGCAGTCAGACAGTACCGATAACCCTGCGACGATGGTAGTGGGCCGACCAATTCGATATGAATTTGCTTGAATCGTGCTCGTGGTAGATGGTATGTACCTAATGGTGCTGTTACGTGGCGATTTACTTTAGCACGTTGGCATGAGATGCAGGCGCGAGCATATTGCTTGCAGTCTTTTTTGAGGCCAGGCCAAGTATAACGCTCGGAAACTAATTTAGCGGATGCATTTGCACCAGGGTGGCTAAAAGAATGCAAGCTGTCGAAGACTTGTTTTCTGTAAAATTTTGTGACGTATGGCCTGGGTGTCGGGGTACTGACGTCGCAGTACAGAGGAATACGGCTCCCAGGTACTTGTCGTTTCTCCAATCGCAGAGAGGACCCGTCTTTCAAAAGGTTGGCGAGTTCCGGGTCGGAAATTTGACTCTTGGCTAGGGACTCAAGAGTCGTTGGTGCGCTTAGCTCTTCGATGCGTGATAAGGAGTCGGCCACGACGTTATTCTTACCGGATATATGACGTATATCGGTGGTAAATTGAGCGATGAAGTCGAGGTGTCTATACTGCCTAGGCGAACAGTTTGTTTTTCTTTCGTGAAAGGCGAAAGTAATAGGTTTATGGTCAGTATAGATAATAAAGTGTCTAGCCTCAAGCATGTGCCTAAAATATTTAATCGCCTCGTATATGGCGAGTAACTCACGGTCGTATGGTGAGTTCTTCTCTTGTGAGGGACTGAGCTTCCTAGAGAAGAAAGCTAAAGGTTCCCATGCGTCCTCCTTTAGCTGCTGCAATACTGCACCGATCGCCTTATCCGATGCATCGGTAAACAGTGCGAGTTTGGCGGCACAGTCGGGGTGAGCAAGCATGGTGGCCTTAGACAAGTTTTCTTTGCAGGCGTTAAAGGATGCTAATGTGTCCCCTGTCAAGGTGATACGGTGAGAACCTTTTACATTACCTGTAAGGAGAGCATTTACTGGCGCCTGAATTTGAGCTGCTTGAGGAAGGAACCGCCTATAAAAATTCACCATACCCAAGAATCGTCTAAGTTGCCGCACAGTAGTCGGGGCAGGGAACTGCTTAATGGCCAGTACCTTAGATTCCAGGGGTCGGGTGCCATGCTCTGAAATGTGGTATCCCAGAAATGTAACCTCACTGGCACCGAACACACATTTGGAAGTATTTACCAGCATCCCGTACTTTTTCAGCCTTTCGAAAATGGTGCGAAGGTGTATCTCATGCTGGGCGGCCGACCTTGAGAAAACCAAATAGTCATCCAGGTAACAATAGACGAAATCAAGTCCCCTAGTCATCTCATCTACAAATCTTTGGAATGTTTGGCCCGCATTTCGTAGACCAAAAGTCATGTACGGGAATTCAAACAATCCAAAGGGTGTGGTGATCGCGGTTTTCGGGATGTCTTCAGGACTTACTGGTACCTGGTTATAAGCTTTCACAAGATCGAGCGTGCTGAAAACTTTGCACCCTGCAATACTGTGAGCAAAGTCATGGATGTGCCTTATGGGGTATCTGTCAGGCACTGTTCGCGCGTTGAGCTTGCGGTAGTCACTGCATGGTCTCCAGCCGTTGTCCTTCTTCGGTGCTAGGTGTAATGGAGATGCCCAAGGACTCTCAGATGGTCGTGCTGTACCATTGGCTAGCATCGCTTGGAACTCTTGACGAGCTATCTTCAATTTGTCAGAAGCTAAACGCGTAGGGGAACAAGACACAGGAGGGCCGGGTGTGGTGCGAATATGGTGTACTGTGTTGTGAGGTGTAGTGGTGTGTATACCAGCAGGGCGTGTTATTTCTGGAAATTCGTCTAATATTTTATGGTAACGAGTATCACCAGATGAAACCTTTACAGAGTAAACATTTTTAATATTAGCAAAATTAGCTACAGCGCATATGGAAGTAGTATTATCAATAAGCTTTTTATTTCTAATGTCTACAATTAGCTGATAAAGGTTTAAAAAATCTACACCAATAATTTGTTTTGTAACTTCAGCAACTACAAAGCGCCAAGCAAAATTTCTACGCAAACCAAAGTCTAAATTTGAATGTACATAGCCATACGTCGCTATGTTGGAACCGTTAGCTGCACACAGTTCAAAGTTGGTCCGGGCCCGACGATCTCGAAGTGAAGATCGAGGAAAGACACAGAGGTCGCTACCCTGTGTCGACCAAGAATTGCGTCTTTGATGCACGATCCGTCACGAAGAGGCGACCCGTGGATGAAGATGAGCAGTCGTCAGTCGCCATTATCGACTGCTCCCGGCGTTTCCCGCCTTATAATCACAAGGCCGGATGCATTTTTCGGCCTTCTCCCCAAACTTGCCATGATACCAACAAAGCGGGAACTTCCGGTAGTTGGAGTTCGACCGCTTTCTTGAGGTGGAGGAAGATCGGCTCCTGGGCCGCCGCGAGGAACGATGTTGTCCCCTGCTGCATCTATCCATGGACATCTTCTGAATTTGCCGTCTAAGTTCAGCAATCTCTTTCGTCAGTTCGCCAACAACGGAGGTGGGTACTGAATCACTGACAGCTGCAACCCTTGACGTCGTAGATGCGAGATCATGAACACGGTCTGCGAGGTCCGCCAGATCATCTGTGGTACTGGTAGATGGTTGACCGGCGAGCACCGTCTGTATGCCGTGAGGGAGTCTACTGATCCATATAGTCTTCAGGAAGTCATCAGTCACGTCACATCCAGCAAGTCCTTTAAGATGACGAAGAAACTGGGATGGTTTTCGATCTCCTAGCTCTTCATGCATCAACAACTGCTTCAGTTTTTTCTCATTGGATGCCGACAATCTTTTAATTAGCTCCGTCTTAAGCTTTCCATATTTATCAGTTGGCGGCGGGCTGATGATGATATCTTTGACCTCTCTCGAGAACTTATTATCGAGCTGGCTTATGACGTAATTAAATTTGGTCGCGTCACTAGTAACACCGGAGATGGCAAATTGACCTTCCACCTGGGCGAACTAAATTTCTGGCTCCTCTGGCCAGAAAGGAGGCACTCGTACGCCTACTTTAAAAACTTCAGGCTGATCAGTTCCGTATTGACGTCCGGCAAAATTCTCGTCCGAGTCCGTGGAAACGCGCCCGTCTCGGGAGTGGCTTTGTGCGTCTTTAAATGCTTTATCCATGTTCGATACGGGGTCACCAGTTTAGTGTATTTTAGTTTTGTCGTTTTAATTCGATTAGCGGATTTAAATAACAAGACAACGACTTACAATATCTGGCGTTTATTTTCCACGCGCAACAAGTAACATGTACACTACACAATCACAAAGAAAGAGTATTTTTACGCACAAGCACAAGACAGTTAATATAGCCACATAAAGCACAAATTACAGACATAAAATTGGTTTTGTGAATTTTGAAAGCGAGAGGTCGTTTCTAGAAGGTTGAACTTAATTGCTAAGCAGCAAGCGCTCCGCGTCGTAGTATAGTCTCGACTGGTGGTACACGTGAGCTGCGCCGGCGCATCGGCCGGTGGCCGAACAGGTTTTTAAGATGCGCGTTTCCAAGGCGGGGCACGTCACCCGTCTGGTATACGTTTTTAACGAAATAAAATGCTTGATGTCTTACAAGTTATCGTGTTCTGAATTTTGATATTATAAATAAATTTAAGTGTGTATATATAGTTAAATAGTTATATTAAGTTTTATTATGAGATAAATATGTAAATAATTAAATGTAAATAATAATTATAAATGTAATAAAATAAATGTAAATAAATGTAGGAAAATCACCTACAGTTGCATCTCGAAAGTGATTCTGGGATGTATGAGATGTTACCGTCTTAAGTTTTTTGTCGGTTGAGGAACTATTTTTGGGATGCCATTAAGGTATCTCATAACCAGATTGGTTTCACCCTGTTCACGCCTTTGTTTTAATTCTTATAGAACCGTTTTCAGATAGCTTTGCTGTTTCGGAGTTTGATCAGCGACGATTTTTATAGAATCTAATTTCAAGTTATTTTTATTACGAAGAATAGACAATGCTTCTTCTTGTGATGCAAAGCATACTTTAATAGGTCTACATTTTCCTGGTAGATATTTTCCTAGACGTATAACTTTTTTAAGTTTATAGGGCTTCTCATCGTTTAATTTGAGTGCTTTCAAAACTTCAGCAATTTCTAGTTCTTTCCTTTCAATTACATTTTGTGTATGTTGCTCTTGGATACCAAATACGATAATGTTTTTACCTCTTATATAACGCTCATTTAGTTCAGCCATTAAGTCCTCACATACTGAAGGTGTTCTTGGGGGGGAAGTTTGCATTACCTGTGATGGTTTTCAGTGTCGAGACGTCAGCTTCCAAATTTAGTAGCTTTTTTTCAGTATTATTAGCAGTATTCATAACTTCCGCGATGTCTGCTTTAATTTTAACTTGTTCGAGGGTTATGTGTTCCATAGATGTATTTATATTATTTACTTGATCTTTTAGAGAAGCAATATCGGAGCATATTTTATCAGCGCTTTCACTTTGGTTTTTGGTTAAAGTGGCCAAAAGTGTCATCATTTCAGACATCTGTTTCCTGATTTCGCCAATTTCTGTTATAATGAATGCATCATCGTCGAGTTGTTTTCGCTTGCCTCGAAAAGTAGCATGTGAAACATTTTCCATTTTATTTAAATTGGGATAAGAATTGCTATGTATTGCTATGTCACTTCTATTTGGTGAGCATAGTACGCTCATCTTTAGGTCTGTGGTTGCGTGTAATGTTACTCACACTGCTGCGTGAATTGATGCAGTAGGTGGTGGTAGTGATGATGCGTGCGAGCAGTCCAGAGCGTAAAAGACTCAGAGTCTATCGCTATCACAGGTGAGGTGTGGGGGCAGCGGGCAGCAACTCGTCACAGCGTTGAAGTATTGAAGGTCGTAAGATGCACTGGTGTTTTGCGAACAATTTAGACACGAATAGTATGTAACAAGTTTGAGATTAGCTTGGTACTGTTATTAGGTATATTTTAAAGAAATAAGTGCAAATGCGTCTGCTCGGTACGCTCTCCGTGTGTTTTTTTTTTATAATTAAAAACTATTTATATTCTATTTTATGTGTCTTTACCCCTTTAATTTGTTATTCTATTTATATATATTCTTACTTATTCTAGTCACTTTCAATATATTAAATAATATATGAAGGTGTGCTAGACCTATTCTGTTTTTATTTATATTCCGGTTTTTGTATTTTTATTATGCTTTGGTGTCTAACTCAGTTAGATTCCAAGTCATGTTCTTTGCTTGTCATGTGTTCGAATTCATGCGTCTGTGTCATCATGACCTTTTCCCATGAATTCTCTTGTGTTTGTTGTTTTTTGTTTGTGTTTTGTATTCTGTTTATGTTGTGTTTTGTGTGAATGTATTGTTCTTTGTGTTGTGTGTCTGTTTGTATATTGTTATATTGTGTACAATTTTCTTCTGGCTAGATATATGCCGTTGTGGTTCTAGCCAGAAAGTCCCATTTGGCCCTGATTGGGCACTCTTTGCTGAAAGTGTTGTGGGCGGTATCCCGCAGCCCCGAGTGCGAGTAATTGCAGCATGTTGGGGGTTTTTCTCCTTGTCCGGACATTCCGTTCTAAGGTGGAGGCCCCCGCAGTGGCTACACCTGCTCGCACTCGCGGTGCAAAATTTCCTCCGTGGCCGAATTCTAGGCACTTTGTGCACTGAATCACCGGGGACTGGTCCTCCACTCTAACCCTCTGTAGGTCCACGTGGAAGTATCCAGCCCCAGTCATTCTCTGCCAAAGCGCCGGACTTGTCTGTATCGCTATGTGGATATTATTTCGATTTTTTGTACTTTTTTTAAATTTAATTTTGAGCCTATTGTCCTCCTCTGGTAGGTTTTTGAATATATTCTCGTTTTGCTCTTTTATAGCTAATAAAAGTTCTTGGTCTTCTATGTCATTGAATACATCCTTTAAAATGACCAGAGGATCTTTGTTTCTAATTTTTTCGATCTGCAGTCCCTTGTCCTTTTTAAGTTTCTGTTCTATCTTCATTATTTCGTCTATATTTTCACATCCTATTATGATTTTTGCTTCCTTACATTTACGGATGCTATCTATTTTAAGACCTTCTCGTTTGGCTTCTATATTCTTTTTCGCCTTATTTAGGACCTCCACACTTGTATCTAATATGTTATTGGATGGCTTTTTCTTACTTCAACAATTATTCTTTCTTCTTTTAATTCTTCTTTCTCTATTCCAGTCATAGATCTTTTATCCTTCTCTATATGTTCTCCTTTTATACCTCTTTCTTTCATTCCTCCTATTGCGATTTCTATTCCTTTCATTCCTTTCGTGTATTGCTCTTTGTTGAAGTTGTAGTGCTGTTGCAATAATTTTGCCATTCTATCTCTTTCTTTCTTGTCTTTATATTCTCTTCCTATTCTTTCGTTCAGTACATTCATGTTTTCTTCCATTCTTCTGTTCATTTCTTTCATCATCTCTTCCATTTCTTCATTCTTATTAATTATCTTTCTTTCCATCTCATTCATCCTTCCTATCATTTTTTCCTCTTTTTCCTTTTCACTTACATCATTTTCATACATCCTTACTCTTATCTCTTGCTGTTCCATTAATTCTCTTGTTTTTCCTAGCGTTCTCTCATGCTTCTTCATTCTTTCAACTCCCTTTTTTAATCCTGTTATAATTTTGTCCCTCATCTCTTTTCTAAGAGGGTTTTGCACTTCCAGAGCCTCTATTACCTTCTGCAATTTATCGGTTGTTAGGGGGAACTCTTTTTTTTTTATTTATTAAGAAACTCAACAGCTTTTTTTTTACAATCATTTTGTTTTCACTTATATATCTAATCTAGCCAATAACAGAGTTTCATAACTTGAAAAATTCTCTACGAAGCTAAGTAAGCAATACACATAAGTTATTATTATTATACAGTGTGATAACAAAAACAGGTTCCACTTTGTGTACATAACTATTTCTATATATTTTTTTTTTTATAGGGAGAAGCTATCATTGATAACAATTCTATACACATACAAAGATGAACAATACATATAGTCCCACATACATATGTATATTATACATACATAAACACATAATACACACACAATTGATATTTAGTCTCAGCAGTCCAAGTACTTCCCTTTTCGTTATCAAATAATAATACCATTCAAAGTTATTTTGTCAATATTTGAGTTCATTTGCAAAAAAAAAAAATCTAAATTAATTAATTGGTTAAAGAACTAAAAATATTTTAATTACATAACAATTTCCGAGGTTCAGCATAACAGTTTAGAGATCAATTGTTTTTTAAACTGTGTTTTGGATAAATGGAAAATATCTACGTCGTGAAATTTTTTATTGTATGTTCTGGAGATACGAGTCATGACAGCATTTTTACCGTAGTTAGTTCGGTGTTTGGGTATACTAAGCAGAGGAGTTTTTCGTGTACGATATTTCGGAGTGCAGAAAGCAATACCGGCAAGAAGATTAGGACTATTTAAGTTACCGCGCAATATGCCATACAACAGGCACACATCAAGCAATTCGCGGCGAGATTCCAAAGACAAGAGATTAAATTCCCGACAATCATCATCATAAGGACCGTGAAAATGTCTACCAGTCTTATAATTTAAATGCTTGATAAATTTCGTCTGTATTATTTCTATCTCATTTATGTATTTAGAGTACTGTGGTGACCATACGGAACTACATACAATATTCAAGAATACTACGGCAGTATGCAAAGTAAACCGACCTTAGACAATTTACATTTTTAAAAGGTTTACATGTCCTGATTATAAATCCTAGGTTACGATATGCTCTATTGACTACATCAGTGATGTGATTGGTAAATGTCATTTTAGAGTCTAACAGAACACCCAAATCTCTCACCACTTCCACTCGCATGATGCCTTCTCCATTAAAATTATAAGGAAAAACTATTGTATTCTTCTTACGGCTAAAACTAATGCATTGACACTTACTAATATTTACTGTTATATTATTGCGTTTATAATAAGAATATAAGTTGTCCAAATCATGTTGAATAAGCTCCGAATCTATCACTGAGGATACCTTCATAAAAACTTTTTTGTCATCGGCATAAAGCAAATGATGAGCTGTTTTAAGACATTCACCGATATCATAGATGTACGCGCAATAAAATAAAGGGCCAAGGTGTGATCCTTGGGGTACACCAGATGGTATTTCAATAAAGTCTGATTTATAACCTGCAATGACAACAGCCTGCATACGATTAGAGAGGTAGGATGTTATCCATCTTAACAAATCGCCTCTAATTCCGAGCCTATATAACTTATCTAGAAAAATGATGTGATCCACCTGGTCAAAAGCTTTTTCAAAGTCCGTGTAGATCACATCAACCTGTCCGCATTCCTCCATCCCGCAAAGCACATAGTCACTAAATTCGACTAAATTTGACATAGTTGATTTTTGTCTTATAAAACAATGCTGATTATGTGATATTGCCCTTGTTATTATGGGGTAAATATAGTCATAAACAACCCGCTCCAACAATTTGCTTAATGTATTTAAAATGCTAATAGGCCGGTAGTTACCTATTTCTGTTTTTGAACCTTTTTTGTGAACAGGTACTATGAATGCTTCTTTCCAAGAGTTCGGGAAGGTGCACTGTTTAAAAGACATGTTAAATAATAAATTAATTGGGTAGGCTAGTGTCTCTGCACAATTGCGTAAAAATATAGGTGCTACACTATCACAGCCGGGGCCTTTGGAGATATCTAAGGTCTTAAGCATTCCCAACACATGGTCTTCTGTTACAGTAAGACCAGATATTATGTTTATAGGATCATCAACATCGTCTACACAGCAAGCAATTTGTGAAGAAGATGGGGAAAACATACTGTTAAAGTAGTTATTAAATTCAGTGCATATAGCGTGACCATCCACTATTAACCTACCCTGATGAACAAATTGCTTAGGATATTGAGAACCACCGCGCTTGGACTTAACATAGGACCAAAAAACTTTGGGAGAACGATTTATACCATCTTCCATGCGGAGGACGTAGCTTTGGAAACATTGCCGTTGAAGTTGTCGGACAACTTCAACGGCAATGTTTCCAAAGCTACGTATAATCACGCGGGTTTTTGTAGCGTTTCCACTTTTTATGTGCTTTACTCTTCTCACAAATTACCTCAATCAATGCAGAGGTATACCAAATGGGATATTTTCTTTTCTTGTTTATTATATTTTTAATGGTACAAATTTATCAAAACTTTCCTGTATTTTTGCATAAAATACCCTTAGAGCCTCGTTTATTGATGTATCACACAATATATCGTCCCATTTAGTTTGAATAAAGAATTTATTTATGTCGAGATAGTTACAATTAAGGAAATTACGCCGTTGTGTGGTTGCCTCTTTAAGCGGAGTCACAAATAAATCAGTTATATTAATTTTTAGACATGGATGATGTTTGTCCTCTTTCAGAAGAGGAAAAGGGGTCTCAACTACCGTATTCAAATTACAGAAAACGAGGTCCAGTGTCCTATCATTGCCATTTAGAATAAAGTTATATTGGGTTAGGCCCGAGTAAGTGATGCACTCCATGAATGAAAGTGCTGCTTCTTGTACATCTGTGTTAACATTATGAAGCAATTCGTGTGTACCATTGTACCACCTTAAGCATGGAAGGTTAAAGTCGCCCACCACTAACAGTACATCATCAGGATGCTGCTCAGTTAAATCTGTTATGTAGTTATTTACTTCACTTAGTTGTAGCGGTAAGTTCGAAGAACTGGGCGCAATATAAACCAAAACAATAATTAAGTTATATTTAGTTCCCATTTCTCTTGACGGCAAAGTCAAACAGACCAATTCAGTGTTATGGCTAGAAAAAAAATTGTGATTTTGTTTAGCTTCATACCCATGCTTAATGCACACCATCACTCCACCACCGGTTTTCTTTTGAATGAGTAATAAGTCACGATCCAAGCGTATGACATCGTACCGATCATCACATAGTTCAGAACTAAATATGTCCCCTTGTAGCCATGTTTCCGAAAACATAAGAACATCGTAGTCATAATTCCCAATTCCATTGTAAAGTTCCAAACATTTGGTTCTAAGCCCTCGCACATTTTGATAGTAAATAGACATGCCGCTGCTGTTACATATCGCCATTATAATAATATTTATTAAGGGAGTCTATTATTGATATGATTTCATATGTAACAACGGAATCTACCATAATAGGTTTTTTTAACATTGTTAGTGTATGTTTGTAAGTATTTTTAGTAAGAGTATACTGTCTATTTATAAATCTGTAAATAATTATAGAAGGTATTAAAATGAATAAGGTACTATATTGAAAATTATAAGTTTCAATATAAATATTGTTTTATTATTATTCATACAACAATTACAGAACGTTACCATGTTAAACACTTTCAATAGAAGTAAAACTATGTGAGTCCATTTGATATTTTTTATTAGTCCATTAGGATACAATAACATTCGCAAAATGCCAACCAGCCAAGTTATTAGAAAATAATTAAAACAATTTTTGGGTATGTATACCATAGAAAATATATGTCCAGTTAAACCATAGTTTATATATTCTAATTTGCCTGTTAAATGCCTCACAACAATAATCTTACCACAGTATGGGTCTTGAATGTACAACGACACTGGTACGTTTATAAAACCATGACATAAGACTATGTTAAACAGTTTTAATAAAAATAAAATGATGTAAGTACATGCGATATGATTAGTTAATTTTTTTATTAAATATAATAATAGACTTAATCTGCCAACTAACCAGATAATCAAAGATTTTTTGTTTATATTTGTGCATAAAAGGAAAGTATTACTATTTAGAATACAATTCATAAGTTTCAAAGTACCTAATAACTGCCTCTTAACAATATCAATATCATTTAATAGGCCTTTAATGCATAGTGATGTTGATAAATGTTTAAATAAGTAATATAGAATGGTCCATACTTTGCTATATACGTAAGAAAGGTTACTATAAAAATCCTTATTTAATATACAGTTACTTACATTTTTGTTTAAACTAAACCAATATGTGTAAACCAAATTAATTGAGACTTTTACGTGATCCAATTGTACAGTACTATTATTGTAACAGAATTTGTTCATTGCTAAACAAGAAACACATTGTCTTCTCCCCACCTTATAAATTAAGCCAACACAGTGACAAAAACAATACAACATTATCAAAGCAGTTATTGAAAATGTAATCGATATAATCACAAGTCACTTCAGCTTTTGAAGTGTCTCTAGGTCACGAATTAAAATTGGTTCCGTTTCATCGGATTTCCTCATGTAAATGCGACCACCACGAACCCATGTAAAGGAGAATGGGCAATTTACTATGAGAATTCGGCTACTTTTGCGTAACCGTGCACATTGTTCAAACCAACGGTATATGATAGAGAATTATTTCCAGAATGAGTAGGAAAAAAACCAATTTAAAATTATGCCGGAGCTTGAGAATATCTAAATATATAACATAGATTTTGAGGTTATCTTGTTATAATATCTACGTATGTAAGAGCAATCAAATAAGTATTTCAAACAATCGATGACTAACGGATATTTAGTTGCGAAAATGTACATATCTATACCTACATTATAAAAAGGAAAGATTAGATTTTTTATTGTAAAGGATAAACTCAAAACGACTGGGCCGATTAAAAAAATAGTCTTTGACTAATATAATAATACCTGACCAACATTATCAGAGTTAAAATATTTTATTTTGTAAAAGTAGTGGTAAAAAGTCCGCATGTCAAGTCGATTAATAACTTGAAACTTAGTAGTTAGTCGTAGTTATACTCACCGCTAAAGAAAATATTATAACGAATGTCACTAGCAATCTTAAGATATTTAGATATTTATCTGATGGAATCTTGTTATATTTATGTATAACACCAAACATTTTGTTATTTTATTTATCAATACCCAAATCGCAGTACCTAATCAAGAGTACCTACAAAACGGCAAAATAAGGGCGCTTGCTTGTGTACTACACTGAATTTTCAGGTCCGGTTGTCCGATTACAATACGCAACTTATTTTTAATAGTGTCAAATACCCTATTCTTTGGGATTAGTGTCGAACGATAACATGGCCGATCGTTGGTTCAGTCTGTACGTGTCATATTAAGATGCGCCACCCGGCCGATTGCATTAATTTGCCTCCTATTATTTACTATGAAATAGCGTACATACTTTTATTCATGCTCAAAAGAAAACCGAAGGATGTCTTATCTTAGATAGTAATTAAACAATCGATTTTTTCGATACGTAGATTAATCCGTTAGTTTATATAATCGATAAGGCGATTGAGTCTATTGTTGCATGTTGACATTTATCCAAAGCCATATCATTTGTCTAAATTAGTCAGTTTAGCAATTGTTTTAATACGGTTAATTTTAAACGCCGCATAATTTTAAAATAGTATTTATATAGAATATATTATAATTATAGGGAAGATTTTTGGTAAATAAATGCGTAGTGCGCGCAATTTGCGTAATTTTAGCCGACTTCTGCCCATTCTCCTTTATAGTTCAACTCCTTACTACATTTGCGAGCTGCAGCATGCAATTTTTTATTCTCGGCTGACAGATTCTCGATTACAAAAACCGGTTTTTTAACTTCAGTAACAAAACCGAAGTCATGCGTGTTAAGCTTGTTCTTTACGTTGATCTTATTATGTTTACTTACAGCAGACAGCACTGAATCGCGAAACCGTGATGAACTAAACTTTATTATTATAGTGCGTGGTCTGGGGTTGGTGTTATCGATTTTGGCTACTCGCGAGCAGTATAAAATATTTTGATCATCAATAGCATAATTTATGGTGCGTCCAAGCTGCTTTACTATGTTTATTATATTTTCTGTTTTCCTTTCTGGTATACACTGTATTTCTAAAGCTGAAGCACGAGACTGTTGATCCAACAAAATTATTTTATTTTTGAGTGTGTTAATTTCACTATGTAAAATGTCATTTTCAGCTTTTAATGCTGTTATTTTCTGCTGTTGGGCTTTGAACTCTTCGGATATCTTGTCGAACTTCTCACTCATGAATTCAATAGAGATTTTGAAATTACTTATCTGCTCATTGATTGAATGAATACCAGTTGTCAACTCCATAGTACTAACTTTTAACGCCGTCGCTATTTCTTCGCGTAACAGTTCACGTAATTCAGAATGTCGCACGTGCTCACTTCCAGTGTTAGCAAGATTAATATCTTATTTAGCAGGTGCCTTACGTCGGGTGACGCTGTTAAAAGATATTTCAGCCATCGTTGTTGGAGTAGATGGTCGAGCCACAGATTCAGAATTATTACCTTTCGGCTGTTTAATCATGCACGTAGGGCAGACCCAGTTCAATAATGCATCCTGAGGCAAATCCACGATATTCTCCGGACGTATGTTTAGGCATAAAAAAAAGAAAAAAGAAAAAAGAACTCTGTCCTTTTCTTCTCCATATCCTCGTCCCATTCCTGTAAATGTGCTGAGGGGGCCGTTTTTGGTGTTTCCGGCATTTTCTTTTCCCTTTTTTTTATCTTTGACGGCGCTTGCCGTTGATACACCCCGTCTTGGCGACAGTACCGGTGTGGGGTCCCTTACCTCTGGTTTCTTCTGTTGGGTTGGTGTATGGAACATTTTGTTGGGATCAGTTTTTTGTTTGTGTAAGGTAGGTACTTAATGTGAGTGTTGTGTTTTGTTTAGTGTGTTGTTTGTGTTATTTTTATTTGTAATGTATGTGTTCTGATGTTTGTTTTTTATTTCAGGTGCCGTCGTCCTGTTTGGCAGATCTACTGCGGAGTCTTCTTTTCGGCGTGTTGGTGTACTGGTAAGTGTTTTTGAATTATGTTTATCGTAGAGCTAGCTCAATGCGTCCTAAGAAGTTTGTGTCCTATACTAAGACACATCCCAACGTTACGTTACGGGTACGTTGCCACGAATATATATAAAACTAAAATAAAAATGTCAAAAAGAACTTTATTTTCAATAAAAATAGGGTTTTAATAAAATCACATTTTTGTTTGGATTTTTTTTTTATTTCCAAGTCTCGTATTCGTTGTCTAATTTATTTTACTTTTCAGCGTTTCGTTTAATTTTTTGGGATTTTTTACGAAAATTTTCCAGAAATTATTACTTTTTTCAGTTTTTCAGGATTTTCAGGGAAAATCCCGGGTCTAAATTATTTCGTCCCATTGTGTCCGAAAGTGCTTGCCGAGCCCTATTGATTGATACCCCGTTCACCCTGCTGCGATGGATAGTCTCGGAGATATGTTCGGGTCAAAAACTGGAAAAAACTTGGCCCGAGAGGGACGAGTGCCTTTTTCTCCGAAACTATTCGTCCTGCTGAACTGGGACTTTCAAGATTTGGATGAAGGGGATCCTGCTCCCTGGGAAGTCTGTTGAATTTGCCCCGTGAGGTGGAGTTAGGGCAAATTTGCCATGTGGGTCAGACGAAGTTAGAAGACTTGACAAATGTTGAAACGGCAAGATTAGTATATTTTAGTTATTTTCATAGTGTAATGACGTGTGGTATATTGTTATGGGGTTCTGCGGCTAGCATTCAGGATGTTTTTATTTTACAAAAGAGAGCTGTCCGTGCTATATATAATTTACGGTCTAGGGAATCTCTCAGAGAAATATTTAAAGAAATAAATATTCTGACTGTTGCCTCTCAATACATCTATGAGAATATTATGTACACAAGAAAACATTAAGATTCCTTCACAAAAAAAAGTAGTGTTCATAATCTTAACACAAGAAATAAAGATAAACTTGCCGTTCCAAGCTTCAGACTTCAAAAAACCAGAGGATCATTTCTGGGTAAATGTATTGCTATGTTCAATAAAGTTCCACAAAATGTAATTGACCCACCCATAAATAAATTTCAAATTCATGTAAAGAATATACTTGTGAGTAAAGGCTATTATAAAGTTGATGATTATTTTAAGGATCGCAATGCATGGAATTAATAGCCTTCGCTTTGTTCTATAAAGACTAATTATATGTTCAACTTATGTCCTACAGACTTTGAAAGTTGTATTTACTATTGTGATAAATTGATAATACATATTATTTTGGTAATGACATGATTTATGTAAATGTCATTACTTATGATAAAAAGCTGATAAGTTTCTTTCGCTTGTTCTTCTTGTCAGCTAAAAGACGTCCTGAACAAGTGGTAGGGGAAAAAAGTTTTTTGGACGATTCAAAAGTGCTTGTAATAGCCTACTTGAATAAAGATATTTTCATTTCATTTCATTTCATTTCATTTCATTTCATTTCATTTCATTTCATTTCATTTCATTTCATTTCATTTCATTTCATTTCATTTCATTTCATTTCAGAAGGGAAAACCCCGTTGCTGCAGCTCCAACGGCTTAGAAGTCACAGCCTTTCAAAGATTTCCAAAATAGCGGTTCAAGATGGCCGCCACAACTTTGGAAGGCTGTATCTCCGGTCCTATTTGTGCTACAAGCTCGGGGCTTAGAGTGGAGGTGTTTGGAGTGTGGAATCGTGCTGATGCGATCTTAAAATAGGGGGTTCAGTTCAACCCCTCCAATTAAAATCTCACCCTGTGGGATGTATGGAGGGGATCTGAGGATGGGATCTAGAAGAAATCCCGATCCTCCAAGTCCAATATTGACGGAGATATGGCGATGTTAAAGTTTACAAAATAGCCGATCCAATATGGCCGACCGATTTTCGGAAATTAATATCTCCATCAATACGGGTCGCAGAAGCGCGGGGATTTCAATGGGGGGGTTGGGGAAGGAATGATCTACTGGTATCCCGTTCCAAAATTATTTTTGGGGCACTTTGGGGCAAAAAAATTTTTTTTTTGTAATTTGCGGTTTTTCATGATTTTTATTTTTGAAATGTGTTTGAGGAGTCTAAAGAACCCCTGTATTGAAAACCGCGTTTCTGTATCTTTTGTAATTTCGGCGCTATTTAAGTTCAAAAAGTTGAAAGAGTCGGTACAAAATGACCGAAACTCGTCCAATTCCTAAAGTTAGAGCTAGGGGGTCGGTACTTGGGCTTGTATAACGTGCCTAGGTACATATATAAACTATGGCAACCTTAAAAAACCTGTAAGTTTACACTATGCCCTTTGAGGGGGCAAAAACACATAAAAATTGGAATAATTTAAAAACTATTAATTCTAAAAATCTAAATTTTTTTTTATATGTACCTTACAACTATTCTTACATTCTCTAATTTTTTGAAGATTTTCCGCTGGATGTCCTGGGTCCAGGAGCCATGCGATTTTTTTTTTCAAAATTTTGGAAGTCCTTTTTTCCGGATGTACAACAGCTAATTTGAATCCAATTTTTTTCCAGATAGTGCTGGGGTGTGTCTTCGAGCGCAGCTCATAAAAAGGGGCTGTTCTCCACAATCCCCAGACACTATGAATTTTGAATGTCGAAATAAAATCGCGTAGGTTCGTCGTTATTTGTCCTATTTTTCTCCTTTTTGTTTCTATTGACTCACCGCAGCGGTCCCCGTCTATTTCAGTTGTCAGAACTCCCCCGGGTCCCTCAGATCTGCTACCACGTGGCGAGAGGTTATTTGGTTATTTCCAAATATCTCTCGAGCCACGCGGCTTTGAGGGGGTCTCGAGGGCTCTTTTGCTGCGTCTCTCGAGCGCGCGTCTAACAACGCTTCGCTCGCGAAAATCCGTTCGTTGAGTCAGTAGATATTTGCCGAAAACTCACTTTTTAAACACTTTTCACGTGGTCGATTTTTGGTTTTTCCACTATATCTTTTTTCACTGTAATTTTGTGATCGAAGTGTCAGCGTGTAGGTCTCGATAATACGCGTCCTTTGAGGTATCGCACGTTATCTTTACCCTTGGATTTACCACTTTTATGAATTTATTTCGTGTAGAGGACACGTGTTTCTGACCGTTGCGGATGACTAACGGATCGAAATTCCAAGGTCGTGGAGGTTACGGGGGTGGTAGGCCTTTCTAAAGGCCATGACTTGGGGCGGCGTTGTTGAAAGTGGGCGGAGGGTCGGTTCGTCGGATGGGCATGTGCATTTTAACTCGCGTCTGTACGAGATACTGGCGTAAAAGTGGACCTATTGAGCCACCTCCGGACACGCTAGGTATTCAGTACATGGTGCGGGACTGAGGGCCGCTGCCTGCGGGTGGAGGCCAAGTAAAGAAAGAAAGAAAGAAAATATATTTATTGACCACATAGGTACAGTGGTGGTCTCACGTGCCTATCCACTTCAAAATCTCGTTCGCTTGGCACACACTTGATGCAATTTTAGAGGGCGGAGTTACGGGCGCATCTTCATTAGTCGTAGTATTTTACTATGACCAATCAGCATGGCTCTACGTATGCAACAAATACAATGAATGCAATAACAGTGTTGTTATTTTTTTAGTTTAGTCGCTTTTTGCATATTGCTAATTGTTGACGTGCTCACTCTGGATTTTCTTTTAACCTCCGCATTCTCATTGGACTGATACCTGTTAATACCTGACCACCGTGCTAGAAACTGGACTTTTGATTTGCTTAACGTGACCTTGGCTTGAATTTGGACCATGTCTTCGAGGAACCTCTCTATACAAGAGAGGAGTCGTACCGTCGCATTACGTAATAATGAATATTAGCGAAATATCCAGAGAGCTGGGATTGACGGTAAGTGTAACATACTTACTGCTTATTTAGATATACAAACTGTCATTGCAAATAAAATATTTAAATTATTATTGTTTACAATTTATAATTGTACTAGCTTTCCATCAGCGGCTTAGCCCACGTGGTCTCCAGGAACCCCTTTTTTCGTGATAAAAAGTAGCCTACTTTCTCAAAGTTAACTCTGTACCAAATTTCATGAAAATAAGTTCGGTGGTTTAGACGTGAAAGCATAACAAACAGACAGAGTTACTTTTGCATTTATAATTTTAGTAGGGATTATAACATTATATCAGATCAAATGGAATTTTTACTTTCCTTAGAAATTAATGGAATTACGTTTTTCCTCTACATCTCTCTCATAAAGAGTAGGTAAGTAGTTTGAAGAGTTCCTCGATGATTAAATATTTATATTAGCTTACGATTATTATGCCAATACTGTTATAACTACCTCTAATATCATTCTCTACACTACTCATTTCTCATTTTTATTTCGTTTTGTTTTTAAGTAATTCCTTAGTGTCATGTGATCAAAGATTCCTATTTCACAAAAAGAATCAATAATAAAATTGTAAAAACATACAAAGTTCACTCAAAATTCAAGATGTTGCCAAACCGCTTCGTTTCTAGAACGCTGGCGCCGTGCCGTGTGAAAAAAAAAAACAAACATAAAAACTGTTTTGGTTGCCGACAAAGTCGAGGCGAAAATCAAAGACGCGCTCCTTGTTAGCTATCTCTTTTACTGGCATACAAACAATATTAGTTCATGGATATCAGTCGTAAGATCGAATTTCGTTATTACTGTTCTGACACTGGCTGTAGAAACTTGGCAACATCGTAAAAATAAAAGTAACATTTATTCTTAAAAAAATGTATGAATTTGTTGAACTGGAACGATAGTTCTTTAAAACAAAATAATATGTTAACTCAGTTGATTTTAAACCATTTTTGGTTATAATTATAATTAATTATAAGAATCACCTACCAAATAAG